GAAAGATTCTTGAGGTTTCCTGAAGGATTCTTGAGGATTCCTGAACGATTTCTTGTTTTTTTTCCCCCCCGGAAGGATTCTTACAGGAGTTTTGAAGGATTCTTGCAGGATTCGTGCAATATAACTGAAGGATACTTGAGGATTCCTCAACGATTCCCGCGGATTCTTGCGGATTCCTGAAGGACTCTGGGGGATTCATTCCTGAGGGTTCCTGAAGGATTCCTGGAACATTTTTCGAGGAGTCCTGGGGGATTTCTGGGGATATCTGAAGGATTCTTGAAAGATTCTTGCGGGTTCCTCAAAGATTTGTGCGAATTCCTGACGGGTTTTTGCGCATACCTGAAAGATTGTTGAAGATATCCGAAGGATCCATGAGGAACCCGAAAGATTCGTGAAGGATCCTTGAAGGATTCCTGACGGATTCTTGCGGACTCCTGCTGCTACTACGTCTGCTGTTACTACTACGAGTGTTATCACTGTTGCGATTACGATGACAACTATTACCACAAGCAATGATATTATCAGTTAATACTACTACTACTACTACTACTACTACTACGACGACGAATATTACTATTACGACTAATACTAGTACTAGTACTACTACTACCACCACTACTACAACTACTACGGCTACTAGCACTTTTACTACAACAACAACGGCTACTACTACTACTACTACTACTACTACTACTACTACTACTACTAGCACTACTAGCACTACTACTGCTACCATTATCAGTATTTCTATTACTACTACTACTACTACTACTACTACTACTACTACTACTACTAGTACTACTACTACTACTACTACTACTACTATTACTACTACTACTACTACTACTACTACTACTTCTACTACGAACACTGGTACTACTACTACTACTACTGTTATTACTGCTACTACTACTACCACTACTACTACTACTACTACTACTACTACTACTACTACTACTACTACTACTACTACTACTACTACTACTACTACTACTACTACTACTTGTACTACTACTACTACTACTACTACTACCACTACTACTTGTACTACCACTGCTACTACTACTACTTCTACTACTACTTCGACGGCGACGACCACAAGTACGACTAGTACGACTCGTACGACTACTGCTACTTCTATGATTATTATTACTTTTACTATTATTATTGCGGCTACTACTGCTACTCTTGCCACTACTACGAGTACGAGTATTACTACGGCGGCTACCATTACTATTACCAACACTACTAGTTCGACTACCATTGTTGCTTCTATTACGACGACGACACTTATCTTTACTATGACCACTGCTGCTACCACCACCACCACTACTACTACTACTACTACTACTACTACTACTACTACTACTACTACTGATACGACTGCTATTACTACTACGACTACTACGACTACTACGACTACCAACACCACCACCACTGCGACTATTATTACTACTAATAATACCAGTCGTATTTCGACAAGTACGATATTGCTGCCACCACGACGACGACGACTACCACTGGTAGTACTACCACTACTACTACCACTGCTACTACGTCGACCGCTGCAGTGGCCTTCTTGTTTTTTCACTGCTACTACTATTGTTACTGATGTTAGTTGTATTGGAAATTTTCCTCGTATTATCATTGCTACTAGTATTATCACGACTAGTTTTAGTAGTAGTAGTAGTAGTAGCAGTACTACTACTACTCCTCATATGTTTACGCTGATCGCTGCTACTGTAAGTACGAATGCGATTTTCATGTTTGTGTTAGTCGCATCGCTGCTACGACGACTACTGCTACTACTGCTACTACTACTACTACTACTGCTACTACTACTACCACGGCGACTATTACTTCGGCTACTACTACTACTACTACTACTACCACCACTACTACTACTACTACTACCACTACTACAACTACTACTACTACTACTACCACTATTATTTCCGCTACGGCTACTACTACTACGACTACTACTACTACTACTACTACTACTACTACTACGCCGCGACCTCTATTACTATACTGTTTCTATCACGGCTACCATTACCAGTCCAATTGCGACGACCAGTACGGTTGCTACCATTGTGATTCTTAGCGGTACGAGTGCTACTACTACTACTACTACTACTACTACTACTACGACTACTACTACTACGACTACCACTATCACTAAGTCTGCTGTTCTTGCTACTAGTACTACTTTTACTACTCCTGTTACTACTGCTACGACGACCATTACTGATACGACTACTACTACTACTACTACTACTATTACACCGCTACTACTACTACTACTACTACTACTACTACCACTACTATGTTTACTATTAGTACTACTACTACTTCTACTACTATCACTACTACTTCGGCTACCACTACAATTGGTACTGCTAATATATATATATATATATATATATGCTGATACACTTGTTTTTGTCATGCTCTATGTTCCTGCTTCTACTACCATCGCTTCCACGACTAATGCTACTTCTATTATTCGCACTGCTACGACTACAACGAAGACTATTTCGATTACGATCACGACTATTATTATTATTATCACCATTGCTATTACTCGTACTCCGACGACTATTTCTAGCACTACTATTACTACTACTACTGCTACTACTACTTCCACTTCTTCCACTACTACTACTACTACTACTACTACTACTACTACTACTACTACTATCACTACGACTACTACTACTACTACTACTGCTACGACTACTACGACTACGACTACTACTAGTACTAGTATTACTGCTACTACTACGACTCCAACTATTACGACCACCGCCACCACTACTACTACTACTACTACTACTACTACTACTTCTACTACTACTACTTCTACTACTACTAATAATGATTGTAATAATAATACGCCGACGACGACGACTACTACTACTACTCCTGCTACTCCTACTACTACTACTACTACTACTACTACTTCTACTTCTACTACTACTACTACTCTTACTACGACTGCTACGACTACTACTACTACTACTACTACTACGACTACTACTACTACGACTACGACGACTACTACTACTACTACTACTACTACTACTACTACTACTAGTACGACTACTACTACCAAGTACTACAAGACACCATCTCCATCGAGGGCCCGCTCATTTTCGCTTGGCAGGCGGCACGAGCAGTGCAATGACAAAATTGTGTTCTCGCATTGAAATCAACAATTTCCAGCGAGACGCTGAGGATATGTTTGGGCGTTGATTTAGTCAAACAACTTGTCTTTGAAAAATCCCCGGCGCTTTCAGTTACGGGCGGAGGGCTCCCAATTCGTGGCAGCCAGTCGAGGGACCGATTCATCAAGAAGGACGATTACGGAGGCTGGGAAGAAGAGCGTCCGCGGTCAGAGCATGGCGGCTGTAGATGCTTGTCCAACTCTGCACACCCTTCGCCAGACAATTGCATATCGGAGGTGTCCGAGCTGGGGATCAAGGCAAAGTTGATGGGCAGGATCAGGTCAACGCGCTCGCGCAGTGCTGGGCCCCCGTGACAACGGCCGTTCCAAAAAAATGCAGGCGCGTGCAGCCAGTGCTTCTACAACCTTTTGAATTTGCTGTGTTTCAGGATATTGTTGGGCCCACTGGCAAGGGCGCAGCTGGTCAAGGTCGCCCGCGCGTTGGCACCATCGAAGACAGCCGCAGGGACTGATGGGACCCCGGATTGCGACGCCGCTCGCCTGTGACACGCCCTGGGGCGTTCGCGCGCTACTGTGTCGCGACAGCGCCTCGCGTGCGAGGGCCATGATGAGCACCAATCCATTCTCCCTAAATTTACCAAGGCCGACGGCTCAGAGCTCAAGGGCGTTGCGCGGAGCGCGAGCGTGATCAGGACACTCGGCTCGTGCAACTCCGATGCCAAACCCCTTTGTTGTCCTTTTCGAACAGGGCGATCGTTCCCGCGGTCGCGCCGGAGGCCCCCTTGTCTCAGCGAGGTTTCGTCGCGCGCTGGGCGCTCGCCGAAAACATCTTGGAGCTGGGCGCGGGAGCTCGACGGACGAGTCTCCAACCTGATGCCAGAGCCCATGCGCCCGCGCATGTTGGGCTTGACTTCGAGAAGGCATTCCCTTCGCTCAGACAACAGCACAGTGCGATGGTCCTCGACATGCTCGACCTTCCCGGCGCCCTCCGCGAGGTGGTGGAGGCGCCCTGCGGCTTTGTCACGGCAGGGCCGTCCACTCTGTGGTTTTTGCTCCGTTGTGTCGCAGTTGCCGCGGAAGCACTCAAGGGCGCGGTCTGGGCGGCTCTCTCTCTGCTCTCGCGATGGCACCGGTCGCGGAGCTGGGCGATGCGTTCGTCAGCGCAGGCGGCCAGTGCTGCTGGAGTTGCGTTGCTGATATGGGTGGTGTTCTGTTCGAGAGGCGCGGCCATCGCCACCTCCACTCGATCGTGGTGGACGCGAGGATCCACGGGGCATGCCGGCAGACTCTTGCTCTGCCCGTGCACATGAGAAGCTAAGGGGTACCACTGCTCACGCGAAGGGGCACCTCGCGGAGGGTGTTGCTCGAGCGAGAGAGTTCTCAAGTATATCTGACGCGTTTCGATACTACTTCCAGCCGGCTGCCGGATGGGCGCTGGCGCGGCAACGTGCATTTCGGGCGGGGCGCCGTGGTGCAAATGCTCGTCTTTCTCCCGCGTCCTCCCCCTCGCCCTCCTCACTCCCCCTCCTCTTCCTCCTCCTCCCTCCCCTTCCTCCTCGCCCTCCCTCCTTCCTCGCCCTCCTCCCTCCTCCCTCCCTCCTCCTCCCTCCTCCCTCCTCCCTCCCTCCTCGCCCTCCTCCCTCCCCCCTCCTCTCCCTCCTCCCTCGCCCCTCCACCGCCCCATCGCTCCCCCCCCACCTTGCCCTCCCCCTCTCGTCGTCGTCGCCGCCTCCCCGCTCCTCGGCCTCCGCCGCCCTGCCCGCCGTCGCGCCTCTCCCGCGCCCCCCCCCCCCTCCCTCCCATCGCGAAGGCAGCGGAGGCGGTGGACGGGGCAGAGGCGCGGCGCGCGCCTCTCCCTCCTCGGCAGGGGGGGGAGGTGGAAGAGGAGGGGAGGAGGAGCAGGAGGAGGAGGAGGAGGAGCAGGACAAGGAGGAGGAGGAGGAGGAGGAGGAGGAGGAGGAGGGGGAGCAGGACAAGGAGGAGGAGGAGCAGGAGGAGGAGGAGCAGGAGCAGGAGGCAGAGGGGGGAAGAGGAGGAGGAGGAGGAGCAGGAGGCTGAGGGGGGATGAGGAGGACGCAGGCGACGAGTTGGATGAGGGGATGGATGAGGGGGGACAAGGAGGGCGGAGGGTGAGGCAGGAGGGAGGGAGAGAATGAGGAAGAAGGTATGGGGGATAAGGAGGCGAACGGGGGGTGATGGAGACCTCTCTCGAACACTCCCCGTCGTCCCCGTCCCCGTCCCCTCTTTCCCCCCCACTCTCCCCTCCACATCCCCCAGCCCCCTCTCATTTGTTGTCTTGATGTTTCTCTTTCTCTGTATGTGCATATTTATATACACATCTCATGAATGACGCGGTGGTGTTCGGTTCGGTTCGGTGTGCGCCCAGTCCGGTTCGACTGGTTCGGCTCGCGTCGCAGACTGGTCCTGTTCGGCCGGTTCGGTTCGGCTGGTTCGGTTCGACCGCTTCGTTTTTATAGTTTCCGACCTGTTCGGTCCGGCCGGTTCGGTTCGGCCGAATTCGACGACGACGACAACGACGACGACGACGACGACGAGGACGGCGGCGACAGAGGAGGAGGAGGAGGAGGAGGCGGAGGAGGAGGAGGAGGAGCAGGAGCAGGAGCAGGAGCAGGAGCAGGAGCAGGAGCAGGAGCACGAGCAGGAGGAGCAGGAGAAGGAGGAAGAAGGTCGGTCTGGTCGGGTCGGGTGGGGCGCGCAGCGTCAGCTGCGCGTGGGCCGGCGCGCCGGCTACCGCACAGCGAGCCATCCGATCGGATGCCCGCTCTCTGAAAACCTGGGCCGGCGAGCAACGCAAGGGCACCGCGGCTGTACTACCCTTCGGCCCCCACAGGCCTCGGGGTAGAGCCCTCGACACACGAGCCGAGTCCAGCCGCGGCGATGCTGCGACCCGCAGCCGGAAAGAAGAGATGCGAAACGCCCAGCCTCACTCGGTGCATATTCCAGCAGCTGCAGTCGCGCCTCTCGCACGGCCGGCGCTCTCCTGCATCAGCAGCTGCTCGACAGAGTACAGCAGGGCGGCCTGGCACTCCGACGCCTTCCGGGGTCTGGCCTCCACGCGGATCCTCGACCGGCCACGCTTGCCGCGAGCTCCGTGCGCAGCGGGCCCTCCATGGGTGCATCGATCTGGGGCTGCCCATGGCACTCCCTCGGCGCTTCCACGAACCTGGCAGCGAGGCCTGAGCTGGGCGGCCCCTCTTGGTCGCGCCCGCCCTTGCCAGCCCCTTTCCCGCGGCGGCCCTCGTTGGTCGCTCCGCGCGTGGGCCTCGCACCCGCCTCGCTGCCACTGCTGTCCGCTGCGCTGCCGCTGGCTGTGGCCGAGGCCTCCCTGCGTGCCGCCTCATGCGCGTCCAGCTTGCGCCACTCTCGACGGCGGCCTCTCTCAGGCTGCTTGCCGCCACCGTGGGCACCGTCGCTCTCCCCGCTCGCCTCCGGCTCGCGAACTTCGCCGGAGCCGCAGCCGTAGGCTGTGCGACGGGATCCTCTTCGGCCTGCTGCCGTCCTCCGGGTCCCTCGCCTTGCACCTGCTCCGGATCGCGCTGCGGCACACCACGGAGAGCGTCGTTGCGTTCCGGCGCCGCGCGCGGCTCCGCCTTGGGGCCGTCCTCATCCCCAGGTGGCTTCCTGCCGCAGCCGGGCAAGGTGCCGGGCGCCTCTCCGCCAGCAGGCAGTTGTTGGAAAGCATCGCCCCTGCCGGCGGGGCCCTCGGCTGTCGCGAAGAAGCCTACTATAGTCTGGCCGCCATGGGCTTCACATCGGGCCTGTCTCCTGCACGCCCTCCAGGCTCTGGGCATGCGGGCGCTCGGCACCACTCAGCCAGGCACCCCAATTCGTCTATCACCTCGAGATCCGTGTGGTGCCACGCGCAGCTCTGCAAGGCCATTGCCTCCACCCCGGCCGCTGCATGAGCCCGACCTGTGGTCGTGCAAGCTCCGGTGCTGCCACTGGTGCTTGCGCCTTCGCTCAACGAGGCCGGCTTCTCCAGCGTCGCGAAGAAAGAGCTCGAATACCTCGATTTTCCAGCCCGCTTCGAAAAGCTCGCACTCGCTGAAGCAGTGGTGCTGAGCTCCTGCTTTAAACGGTTCCTTCACCACTTGCCTGTCGGCATCCTGCCCCAGCCCTGGCCGCTTCGCTTGGCGGTCGCGCTCTTCCACTCGGGCTGGCTGGCCTCCTCCAGGACCTTCAACTTCTTGCGGAGGTCCTGGGCGACCTCCTTCTTGGCCATGCGGGAGCCGGGCAAGCTCCTCCCGCTCCTGCCGCGCTGAGTAGTCGCCGGTCTCCTTCGTCTTTGTCCCCGCCTCCTTCCGCCGCGGCCCCACGGCGGCGAGACTGGACAGGTCGACAACCCTCCCGCGCCACCACGCCAGGGTTCAGTCGGGCCTGTCCCCCTACAGGGGGATTGTCGACAAAAAATGAAAGATACCCCAAAACTACGCAAAACATAGTCCAAAATTAGCCTGGGGACTGTTGTTAGCGTATGTTTTGACCTTCTTGGATATTTTTGGGGGTATTTCTTATTCTCAGAGCGTGAATTACCTACCCCGCTTTCGCTTCCAGGCAAAACCAAGTCATACCACGCGCCTCCTCGTCAAGCGGCCTGACCAGTACAGGCCGCAGTTTGGCATCGTTAAGCGAGGGTGGTCAAAAGCGAGGTAGGTTTGTTTTCTCCTTATATTCTTCGTCAAAAATTCCCCTGTAGGGGGACGCGCCCGACAGAACGCCGGGGCCAGGCCGCTCCCTCGCGCGCTCCTCGGCGGGCCTGCGCGCCCTGCCCTGCGTCTCGGGCCGCCCCCGGGCTCCCCGCCCGCGGCTGCCCGCAGCTCCGCGTGTGCGGACCGCGTCGTCCCTCACCGAGGTCCGACGCTTCACAAAAACGCTGCAACCCAGACCCCCTCGAGTAATGAAAAAATCATGACGGAAGGTTTTCCTTCATTTTCAGCCTCCGGGGGCCTTCACCGGGCCTGGGGAGCGTCAAAAAACGACTCAGGATGCAAAGCTGGTCATGGGGAAAGGGTCGGGACCTTTGGGGGTCGACGTAATGAAAAAATCATTACGTCGGGGGTCTGGGGTCGTCCCTCACTGAGGTCCGACGCTTCAAAAAAACGCTGCAAGATCGCAGAAGTCGCGACCCGACCCCGGGATCCCAGCTCTCTGCCTCACGATTCTCGAGCCGGGACGATCCTGTGAGGGTCCCAGGTCCCGAAGCTGAGCGAATGAACGCCTGGCTCGAAAACATGGGGTCGCCAGGATCTCAACCCAGACACGCGACGTCCTGATTTTTTCAGGACGGCGCCCCTGGAAGCCCCGGCCCCTTCCCCGGGAGCGGCTCTTCATCCTGAGTCGTTTCTTGACGGTCCCGAGGCCTAGTACTAGTCGGTCCCGACGGTCTTCGGGCACATAATTTGTTAGGTATGCTCGGCTGCTTTCGTTGCGATCCTTACCACAGCCCACAGCGCACCAGAGGATTTACCAACCAAGCATGGCCGCGAGGATTGCTTGTTTGAGGAAAAAATAGTAGTGGCCCTCCGAGGCCGAAAAGAGCCAGGAACCTCCCGCCCGGATCTTTTAAAACGACGCGATCATGTCTGGGAAGGGTTCCCGCGGGCTGCCCTGGTGGGACGGGAGCCCTGCCGCCGCCGGGCGCAGGCGGCCGCGTGCCCGCCACGGGCTGCGCGGCTCCTCTCCTCGGCCCCCCGGCGCCCCTCGGGCGCGCAGGCCTCGGGGGCCTCGAGACGGGGGTCAATGCAGACATGATCGCGTCGTTACAAGATCAGGACGGCGACGGGAGGTTTTGGGCTATTTTCGGCCTCGAGGGGGCCCTCGCCGGGCCTCGGGACCGCCAAAAAACGACTCAGGACGAGAAGCCGGTGCCGGGGAAAGGGCCAGGACTTCCAGGGACGCCGTCTTGAAACAATCAGGGCGTCGCATGTCTGGGAATGCAAACGGGGGTCGGCCAGAGCGCCCGATCTTGCAGGATCCTGCAGGGCCAGGGTCGCATTGGCCCGGGCTTGGGTGCAGGACCGTGCAGGATCTTGCAGGATCCTGCGCATTGACTCGGGCTTGGGCGCAGGATCTTGCAGGATCTTGCAGGATTCTGCGAGGGCTTGACCCGGGTCAGAAGATCCCCGGCGGCCCTGCGCCGGGGCGGCCCTTCCGCCGCCGTTGCCCGCAGCGCTCCGGGTGCCTCCGCTGGAGTCGCGGGTGCAGCAGGCCCCTCTTATGGTCGCTGCTGCCGTCGCCCGCGCTCTCCGGGCCTGCCTCCGTCGCTGGCTCCAGCGGGGGTTGGGCGGCTCCCCGTACGAGGCGCGTGTTCGGCGCGTGTTTGGCGTATCTCGGGCTTGTGCCCACGCGTCCTGTTGGACGCCTGGCTTGCTGACTGGCCCGTATGAGATTGTTTTTCCCAACCATCCTGTGGTGTTGGGTCCTCGTTTTGAAGAGACGGTGCCCGCGTCCTCTCCTCTCCTCCTCTTCCCCCTCCTCCCTCCTCCCCCTCCTTGCCTCTGCTCTCGGCACACCTCTCACGTAGTAGCCCCATAGGGAGCTCCACCGAAGGCCCCAGTGGGGGTGTCCACATGCGGTTCCCCCACCCAGGGCAGCGTTTCGTGGCCCCATAGGGAGCTCCACCGAAGGCCCCAGTGGGGGTGTCCACATGCGGTTCCCCCACCCAGGGCAGCGTTTCGTGGCCCCATAGGGAGCTCCACCGAAGGCCCCAGTGGGGGTGTTCGCATGCGGTTCCCCCACCCAGGGCAGCGTTTCGTAGCCCCATAGGGAGCTCCACCGAAGGCCCCAGTGGGGGTGTTCGCATGCGGTTCCCCCACC